TGATTATTGAATATGTGTAAGTTGAATATCTGTAATGTTTTCAAAATTCTTCAACTGAGAAAGAGATCTCTTATTTTCAGAAAACTTTATATATTTATAAATATATTAATATGATCTATAACCTATAAAAATAATATCAGTCAAAAGCGAGAGTAATTTTAAACACAAGCCTGAATCAATCTTATTTAGAAAAATGTTTCACTCTTTAAACTTCACTACTTGAAAGTAATAAATTGAACATATGAATGTTTAATCATAAATGCATTCCTTGGTGATTATTTTGTGTTGTTGATGATTTATCTTAATTCTATATTTAAGAATTCAATTATACAAGGTTATGTGAGGTTCCCTTGTACAATTTACATCAATTCCAAAAAATTAAATCGATTGTATCAAAACATATAGTGTAAGATATTTTTGGTTTGGAATATAAATTTCAAAATAAAGTAATAGAAATTCAATAATTTTTTTAAAAAAAGGTAATGCACCACGAAAAGTAAGTTGAAGAATTGTATAAGGTTTTGTCCTTATCCAAAGAGGTTGATGAAGTATTCCTCCCTATCCTCATTAAAATATTAAAAAAAGAGAGAATTTAGAACTGCCTAGAATTTCTCTCAAAAGATCAAAACAAATTTCTTTTTGAAATAGAAAGTTAAATGGTAGAAAACTAATCTCTGCTTGAGAAAGAATCGACTCTTAATGGAGAGAAGAACATTAAGATAATAACAAATGTCCTCAAAAAAGTTATGGATCATGACTTTAATACACAGAATTACTCTATGGATGATTATATAGAATTTAAAAAGGATCTAATCACAAAAATATCATTGAATAAGAAGATAATAAAATTCCTAAAATTTTTAGTTCATCTGACTGCTTTAGATAAGACCTATATTTGGTGTGGATCAAATTCTCTTCATTTGCTAGTTTATATGAAAGTGGATTTGAGGGAATAAAGTTTTGAGAATATCAGGATAAGAAATACCTCTGTAGTTGGTGGAAATTTTGTAAGATGCA